TTTCACTGCAAAAAGGCAGTATCTCTATTTTTTAAAGATTTATTTATTCATATAAAACTGGGGTACAGGCCAGAGGTGCAGAAGCAGTGAGAGGACTCACCAGAGACAGGGTGGGGAACAGAACAGGCAGATTGACTAAAGTACACTGCTGAGGGGAGAAGCAGACAAGACAGGAGAGGTCTGCTGTGCCATGTGGATCATCTCTAGGACCAGGGATGGAACTCACACTGAAGCAGCTGCAGCCAGCTTCACAGTGCTGTGCTTTAACCCATTGCGCCACTAGGGAGGGCCCCAAAAGGCAGTGTGTCTTATTTGACATCTCTTCTCCATCTCTCATTCCTCCACTTAGCTATGCTTTAGCTGAATTTTTATATTTAGTATCAGATTGGGAGAAATGTGATGCTTAAATCATGGTGAGTTATAATTCAAATAACACAGAGGTTTGAAAGCCAATTTTGTTCAAATTAGTGATTCAACCATTCTGATGACATCAAGACTTGGCTAAGCTTGTAGTTCACAGAGACTCATGAAAGGAAAAAAATGAGAATCCAGATCCCATATAACACCTAAACTATAAGCCTGCACCACACCAGCAAAACTTCTCACACAGCTTAGGAAGTCACAAACATAACACCAGCCCTCATCCTAACGGGTGAAGAAATTTCTTTGTCTCTTTCAATATGCTCCCAGGGAACTAGCAGACTTTGAAATAGCTATAAGTATATTTACTGATGCAATTGTCAAACAATCCACAACAAAAAGTTAGTGTAATGTTAGTTTTACAGCAGTTCTTAATACTTAAGTTCTTAAGACATGGTTAGGATTCAGTATGTTCTCTGTAAATGTTGCATTGATAAGAATGAATCTAGTTCACCAGAAGAAGCCTAATTACTTATCCTGATGGGGGAAGTCCATGTGACATTACATGTATTTGACGGGGCAGAACTCTTTCCATCCTATCCAGCTTCTCACCAAAATCCTTACTAAGAACTTTATAACAATAGCATTCACCATGTGAATTGGTGAGTGTATATGTGTGTGCGCATGAGCACGAGAGAGAGAGAGAGAGAGAAATAAAGGGGATGGCTATTTTATTCAGTTAAACCTATACAAGGGCATTTTTTTTATGACAGTGGTCACATATCGACTAGTCTCAAAATGTCTCCAAGTTTAGCTCATGTATAATAATCAAATGATAAACTAAACATTGCTACCCAAATTGCATAGAACCCTACTCTCCGAAGAGGGAGAATACAAGTATTATCTTCATGTACATAACACTGGAAAAACTACTCATTCATTCCGTCCCAGAGCACAGACACTCTGCATGTTTTTAAGGGAGCCTATGTCTCCCTCCCTACCGTGACCCCTGCCTGCTTCACTTGATATTTGAGTATGGCTGGACTCTAGATGCATCCGCCTGGAACTCTGGGAGCACAGCCACAATGATGGCAATACCCTGAGGCACTGTAGCATCCTGCAGAAAGCAAAAGCCTTCGCCTAATTTCCATGACTAGTTTTCCACACTGCAGCAGCCAGTTGACTAGAATTCCGATTGACAAGAACTTATGGTAATTCCTGGAAAGAACAAGGGTGTGAAGAACAGCCTGATTTCTCTAGTGTTGATCAGAGCCTTTCTACTTGGCTACTCCACGTCTATCTCATGTTCTGCTAGGATATTCTTGTGGAAGTCACCAATGATGTCTATGTGTATAGAAATCTACTCAAAGAATGAAAAAATTACTACTAGATATATATGCACCCCTATGTTCATTGAAGCACTATTTTACTATTTTAAATGCAGCCAAGTTATGGAATCAACTTAAATACCCAGAGAAAGATTAGTGGGTCAAGATATGGAACTACTATTCAACTACAAAAAAAAAAAAACACAAACTCTTGCTCTTTGTGACATCATGGATGGAACTGGAGGGGATTATGTTAAGGGTAATAAGTCAAAAGGAGAAAAACAAATACTGGATAATTCATTCATGTGAAAAATAGAGTAACAATACATTGCAACAGACAAAACAAAATCAAAACAAACCCTAGAGGGTCCCCCCCTAGTGGTGCAAGAGGTTAAGTCTCAGCATTATGAAGCTCTCAGCAGCTACTGCAACATGAGTTCAATCCTAGGTCAGGGAGCTGACCCATCTGGCACAGCAGACCTCTCCTGTCCCGCTGCTGCTCCTCTCAGCAATGTATTTCTGTAGATCTGCCTGTCTGCTCCCCACCCTGTGTCTGGTGAATCTTTTTACCTCCCACTCCCCCACACTTCTGGCCTGCACCTCAGCTATTGTATGCATAAAAAATGAAACAAATCTTTTTTTTTTTTTAAAGATTTATTTATTTGTACATACAGAACTGGGGCACAGGTCAGAGGCTCAGGAGTGGCGAGAGGCCCCACCAGAGACAGAGTGGGGAGCAGAACAGGCAGATCAATGAAGTACACTGCTGAGGGGAGCAGCAGGCGGGTCAGGAGAGGTCTGCCACACCATGTGGTCACCTCCGGGGCAGGCAGGAATCTAACTCATGAGGAAGTGGCTTTAGCTTCTCAGTGCTGTGCTTTAACCCACTGCGCCACCAGGGAGGGCCGAAACAAATCTTTTTCAAAAATCCTAGAAATATTATTGTGTAACTGAGATCATTAGAAGAAGAGGGAGGGGTGGGAACAACACAGGGAGGGAGTACAATGATCTATGGTAAAGGACTATGAGTGATTTACACATTGTTGTAAACAAATGTTATTGCAATAAAAAATAAATACATATTTATTATCAAATTAAAAAAATTATGGTTGCATCAAACTGGGTCCCTATATAATTATCTGGATTGGTTCATTCCCCAACACAAACACACACATATCTTCCCTGGATTTCAGTTATCCTTGCAAATAATAATCATAGTAACAATAGTGATAACTGTCATTTAAGGAGTGCTTCCTATGTACCAAGTACACTGCTAAATTGACATTTGTCTCATTTAATTCTCTTGACAATTTTTGAAAGACACTGTTATCCTCTTCTTACAAATGAAAAGCCAGGCCCTCCCTGGTGGCAAAACAGGTTAAAGCACAGCATTGCAAGTGAGCCAGCTGCTTCAGTGCAAGTTCAATCCCCACCCCAGAGGTGACCCACATGGCATAGCAGACCTCTCCTGACCCACCTACTGCTCCCCTTAGTAGTGTACATCATCAATCTTCCTGTTCTGCTTCCCACTCTGTCTCTGGTGAAGCCTCTCCCTGCCCCTGTGCCTCTGACCTACACCCCAGTTCTGTATACATAAATAAATAAATCATCAGGGGAACGGGATCAAAAATGGGGGGGAGGGAAGCGCACGGGACTATGGTGATGGCACACAGGTGACTCGGTGATGGGAAACCCTCGGGGATTACAATTGAGATTTTAAAAAATGTACAAAATGATGTAAAAATAAACTGTCAAAAAATGAAAGAAAAAAAATAAAACAAAACTTCAAAATAAATAAATAAATCATCAAAAAAGAGAAAACAAATGAAAAGCCATTGGCAGAGGGATAGTATAAATAACTTGCTCATAGGCATAATGCTTAAGTAGCAGAACTCAAACTTAAATTCAGTGTAGAGTGATTCCAAGATCTACCAACTTGAGCACGATGAAAAGCTGCTTTCAAACTTACACCAATGTTGTTAGTACGCTACAACAGGCCCCTAAAAGTTCAGCCTCTTCATGTTCATTCCTGCTTCTTACATTCTAAGAACTAGACCCTTTGGACTTGATATCATTCCTCAAATTCTTGTCCATTTCTATAATAAAATTACTTGCACATTATGGTGATTAGCATGGGGCTGGTACTCTAAAGTTTTTAATTTCCCTCTTCTACTCTTTCATGACTCCTACCCACATATATTCCATTTATTCTGTCTGTAACTTTCTTTCTCCTTTCTGTGTCCAGCACATTCTGAACCATTTTTTTAAAGTCATTTGGTTAATTAGACCTCAATATGAAAAATTCATTTGGAATATTTCTGTCATTACTCTTAATCACTAAAAAGTCCCTGGCTGTGTTCACAATTTAATACAGGGACAAAGTTTAAATGTTTGCTAAATTCAAACTTCTTAAGGAAAGTCATCATCCAGAACTTAGAGGAGAACACATATTTCATAAACTTTATAATATTTCTGATTTATGAAATGTCACCATAAATTCTCACTGAAGAGAACTAGGGAAGAAAGAGGAGATATAGAAAGAAAAGGAAATGAACAGAAAGGAATTGCCAGGAAAGAGAATAAGAGAGGAAAAGAAAAGAAAGTAGAAAAGGAAGAGTTTGGAGTCCATACTTTCAATTTCTAATGATCATCAAAGATTAGTTTGTATTAAAATAGAAACATTTCTATCATATTTAGCTCCATGTTTCTTATAGCTCCCTGCTGTAACTCAGCCAATCACTGAATGCTGATCTGACAAACTCAACAAATCAATGGAAGACAAGCTTTAGGAATTTTTAAGTTCAATCATCAGTGTTAGTAAGGTCTTTATTTTATTTATGATGCACAGCTAATTTTTAAATTTCATTGTAAATAGAAAAAAATGATATTGTTTTTGCTATTTTAAATGAGGCTCATTTCCTAGAAGTTATAATTATATATGTAGTTTTATTATTATGCAAATAAAATCTCAGGAGAACTTGATTGTTGTTTACTACATATTTTTATAAAGAATATAATTATAGTTTTTAGAAAACTAGTTAGAAAATACAAAGTGTAGGTCTTTTTTTCCTTCACCTCAAAATCAGGTAATAAAAATTATATGCTTCAGTAACCCTCAAATTTGTTGCAAAAGGTATTGTGTTATTTTTATATTTTTAAGATTAAAAATAAGTAATTCAATGTAATCTAAAGGTACAACGTTCACTGCCATCTCAGATTGAAAAGACTTTAACGTTCTCTATGGTTTCTCTCATGTTAATAAACAGAGTTGTTAAGAAGAAAAAGCCAGAGAAATGAAAAATATTTTCTCACCACTCCTCATCTGCTCAACCTCACAGAAGTGTGTTCCAGTGGGAGTGTGAATAAATGCGTGCACGTGTTTAACCCCATTCTGAAAATCAGAAAAAGAAATCATTTCCAATAAATGCTCAGCATGTCATAAAGCCAATTTTCTTAATTAAACTTAGAGCACAAATAAGTGTGGTAACCTTTTCAAAACGTTTCCAAGGGACTTCTTCCACGTAGACTTGAGCTCGGGTGACATGGTTAAAAGAAGAAAGAAAATGCTCACAGATATTCATAGCAAAGGATTCTATGCTTTTGATCTGAAAGGAAAAAAAAAAAAAGCTAGTGAGCAAAAAATATTTGCTCCACTTAAAAATAAAATTTAAATACTATGGAGCTCTCTTGCTCAATCAAGTGCTTTTTAGAATTAGAGAAGCATGGAGCCTCAGATGAATTAACTGGTCCTTATGCCAGTTTTTCATCGAGTTGCTAAGTGTAGTAAATAGATCACCATCAGCAGGTAAGGCTCTATCCTAATTCTAAAAGAAGCCTGTTTTGCAGAGGGGATGTATTAATCAATGGATAAACTAAAAAGTAAGTTAACATTTAGATTCTCCTTATTTATAGTAAACTAGACATCACTCATACGAAGACAGCATTGTAATCTACTCCATAACTCTCAGGTCTCTTTATCAAGTCAGCAAACAGAGCTTCTAGTTTCTTAAGGAAAAGTGCAAATTTAAAAGGTCTTTTAAGCTTCTTTGTTTTGTATTATGGCATTCTATTGACCATCTCTACTTCCCCTTCTCTACCAAGCAATTTCTCATTTCCATATAAATTCCTCATGTGAATCTCTAGGTCATGTTTCCATGGTCTTAGCACAGCTTACAGCTTATGGTTTTGCTGATATTTATGGTGGGCTATTTGTACAGGCTGCCCTGGGACAATTCTGTTTTATACTAGTTAGCCCAGAATAATTATTCATAGATCTGATCTCATTTTCAAAACTGTCCTGGTTTGGATATAAAAAAAATTATATGGTCACTCTATCTAAGAAAGACTGAATTGAAGCTGTTTTTAATATCCAGGTCCCTTTCTTCATTTTTTGTTCTTTTGCATAGTATAGACTGTTATCAGGCTGTTTTTGGCAAGGTAATCCAGACGCCATTTTCAGTTTATTTTTTTTTTAAGTAATGCCTATTTCCATAGCCCTATCTATGCTTGCTGGGCCATGCTGGTTAACAAGAGAAAGGTTCAGGTTGGAGACAGGCCTTGTGGAAATTATATTTTAATTAGCTTACTCATTTCATCCCTTGAATGCAGATTTCATACAAAAACATGAGAAAAGAGGCTTTCCAATATATATTTCTTGTCCTTCTAGACTTCTGTCACAAGTAAAATTATCTGCTAGTGATCCAGTAACACTTCACTCACACATAAACCTGAGGCTCAAGTGCTGGAAAAGATATTTTATCAGCTATGAGACCCCTTTGAAGAGTACAGTTACCACCATATGTGGATATTAAGTGGTAATGGAATTGAGAAAATCAGGAAGGCATTAAAAGTTGGACAAGTAGATTTCAAAATGCATCTTATAGTAAAATTTTTCTTCTGCAATAACATCAGGGAAGTAAAAAGTATTTTCTTCTGTAAATGCATACCATTCTAAAAGGAACAAAAAAAAATGACCTAAAGAAATTATGACAAAAATGTATTAGAATGTTTCCTGAAATGCTCTCAGGGTCTTGATTTGCCAATGATTTGATAATTAAGAAATGGGATCTAGAACTGTTGAATAGGTTTCTCTGCCTAAAAGACATTGCAGTGAATTGAGAACCAAGAAAGGAAGACGTGTTGTGTTGTTGTTGTTGTTTTTTTTTAAGTAAGTTTTTCTGTAAGTTTGCAAAATTTAGAATAGAAAAAAATTGTAAATGACTTAAAAGTAAAAATGGGGTTAAACAGATATATCCTTCAGGGGAGGGGGAAGAAGAGGGATGCAAGAAGGGAGGGAGGAATGTGGGGGACTGTGGTGATGATGTGTGGGTGAATGGGGCGGAGTACACATTGTTTTAAAATGAACAATAATACAAATAGATATGTAAATTAGCAATTTTTTAAAATGAGGTTAAAAATTAAGGGAACTTGAAATGAACAAATAACATCCACATGTAGAGTGAATTCTGCATCAAGACTGGCAGAAACTTAGGGAAAGGAAGCACATACCCCTTTTAACTTTGCCAAGACATGTACTGTGTTCTTGATGGTGTCTGTTGGGATGATGTCTGAATTATCTCCATGCAGGTAATCTTTTTTGGAGCCCAGAGTGAGTTGCACTGAAGTTGCCACCTCTTTAATGGTATGATATTTTCCATTTCGTTGAATATGGAGAACTTTTACCATGTCCTTCCCATAGCCAGTTCTAACAAACTCCACCTCATCATTCTACAAAGAAAACATAGGCATCTCATTGAGGAAAATAAATGAAAGAAAAACATGAGCTGCAACTTCTTCAAACCTTCATTTTTGCTAGAATAATAAAAAGCTAGATTCAGAGTATTTGTGACACCTTTGAAGAAAAATGAGGACTTGTCTGGAGAAAGGAGAGCCCCCCAAGAAGATGAAAACAGACAAGTAGATGACTTTCTTTCTTTTTTAAAGATTTATTTATCTATGCATACAGAACTAGGGTACAGATCAGAGGTGAAGGGGTGGTGAGAGGATTCACCAGAGTCAGAGTGGGGAGCAGAACAGTACACTGCTGAGGGGAGCAGCAGGAAAGACAGGAAAGGTCTGCCATGCCATGTGGGTCATCTCCCTGGAATCCAACTCACAATGAAGCAGCTGCAGCTAGCTTTATAGTATTGCACTTTAACCTGTATTGCCACCAGGGAGGGTTCATAGGTTTTTTAAATAACAAAAACAACTGTACCTCCTGTATCACAGTATTTACTCTGTCTTGCTTAATACCTATTAACTTAATCCTTTTTAAACAGATCTGCGAAATAGTATTCCTGAACTGAGGTTCAAACTGACTTGCCTTTCGTTACACAGCTAGTAAAGGACAGAACCAGGATTCATACCCAGGTCTGCTGACTCTAGATCATCTGTGTCTATTCACTGCATAAATTTTTTTTGAACAATATTAACTAGAAATGATTATATTCCCTTTTTTATAGACAGTGATATTCTGAAGAAAATACCTTGTGATCAATAAAAACAATTTAAAAATTGCTGTTTCTCTTTGCTGCCGGGAAGAAGACTAATTAGTGACTGGGTCCAGATTACCTTCAGGAGTGCAGACCAGGGGCCATCTGGCTGCAGAGAAAGCTACGCATTTAGCAAAGAGACACTTAATAAAAGCCTGATGATTGATTCATTAGTGCCCTTGTCTGAAACTAGAGCCTTCACTAGTGAAAATGTCCTCTCCACAACTAGGATCTGCGAGAATGGTTCCTGGGCTTTATTGGTGTTTGAGAGGAGAGGTAGGAGGAAATAGGGACAGAAAAACCTATTTTACTTAGCATGGAAATTGAACATTAAAATGGTAATGGAAAAAGGTGACAAAAGTAACAGCAAATCAAAAACAACACACAGTGAAAGTCTGGGAGTGTGACAGACTTAGGTAATAAGCAGAGAGGCCAGAGGCTACCTAACAGTGTTTGGGTGAAAAAATACCAGGTCTTTGGGAAGGAATTTTAAAACACTAACCGACATCAGAAGTTATTGTTTTGTTCTTAATCAAAGTGTGGGAGAGAGGCTGTCTTAGCCACTGGAGAGAGCACCTGGTAGCACTCGCTACTCAAGATATCCTGAGGGTTTGCAGTGTCTGCAGTTAGTCACCCCTATATGGGAGGGACGCCTGGAAGGGACAACGTTTGGAGAGCTCTGCAAAAGCCTCTGCCCCAATCTTCAGGTTGTGATGCATCTTCAGAAAAGGGCCTAATAAGTAATTCCACCCCTTGGTATCTACCCAAAGAATACACAAATGCTAACTTGAAGGAATCTATGCTCTCTCAAGTTCATTGCAATTCTATCTGTAATAAATAACCTAGTGATGGAGACCACATTAGTGTTCCAAGGCACAAGAGTGGATTAAGAAAAGGAGGGATAGATAGAAACACAACAGACTATTACTCAGTAGTTTAAAAGAAAAAGAAAGGGCCCTCCCTGGTGGCACAGTGGATTAAAGCACAGCACTAAGAAGCTAAAGCCACTTCAGCATGAGTTTGATCCCCAGCCAGGGAGATGACCCACATGGCGCAGCAGACCTCTCCTGACTCACCAGCTGCTCCCCTCAGCAGTGTACTTCATCGGTCTGCCTGCTCTACTCCCCATTCTGTCTCTGGTGAATCCTCTCACTGCCCCTGCACCTCTGGCCTGTACCCCTGTTCTGTATGCATAAATAAAGAAATCTTTAAAACAAAAAAAGAGAGAGAAGAACAAAAAGACAACATAGCAAATAACATAGATAGAACTGGTGGGGATGATGCTATGTGAAATAAATCAGAAGAAATATTCCTATGTGGAATATGGAGAAACAAAACAACAAGCACAACTTAACCCAAATGAACCCTGAAGGTGTGACTGTAGGCTTGAAGCTACCAGACAGGGAAGGAAGAGGCAGAGTAAAATGGCGAAGAGGCCTGCTAGACCATGGCAGAGGACTATCCGTGGTGGGTGTGATGACTAACATCTGAGGAGGGGTGACCTAGTCCTCAATCATATATGGTGTTGCAAACCAATGCTATTTCAAAAAACGGTTGGTCTGCTAGGGAAAGAGGCACTGTTTTGTGGTTAGATGGACTCAAACCAGATCCATGTATCACTTTGTGGCTTATGGTATCTGAGTCTTAATTTCCTCATTTGTAAAAAATGGCGACAACAACCCCCACTAAACAGGGTTACTGGTGAATGGGAAAGACCTGGCTCAGTTTCTAGAACCTAGTGTGGTGCAATGAGATGAACCCCAGTAAGAGTTGCTTGTCAGGTTGGCTGTGGATGCGGAAACAGCACAGGTAGCAGAGGGGAACTTGAGGAAAGCCTCTAAATTTTGGATTGAAAACAGGAACACACTGTGTCTTGGTCCACTTGAAGGGAGAAGCTTAGCTGACTTGGGGCCTCTGCATGGTATGGGCGGGAGCCAAGACCAAAGGTCTTTGAGATCATCGCTTCCCAGCTTACACAGCTCCACAAACATTACTCTTAGTACCCTGCCACCAGATACCTCAGGTTGGTGGTTACTAATCTGTGAGTGGAAGTGGTCTATACCTGACACAAAGAGATTAATCATGGCTGCCCTACACAAACCTCTGCCTGCTCCCTGCTCCCTATTTCAAACAGCTTCAGCTTACCTAAGCTCACTGGGTCTGCCCAACCTTTCATGCTTTATCTACCTGTGGACCTTTACATTTGTTATTTCTTCTTTCTTGAAACTCTTTCCTTCCTCTCTACCAGATCATCACCCTCTTCACCTGCCTAATTTCTAGTCATTCTTTGAGTCACTTCCTCTGCATAAACTATCCCAAACAGTCAAGGCTGGGTTAGTAGGTGCTCAAAATGCTCAGTTACACCTTATCAGAGTCTTTCAGCAGGGCCTGACAGGACAAATAGTGGCGCATACCACCACTGGGGATGCTCCTCCATAAGGCCTCCCCAGTCTGGTAACTCATCAGAGAAATCAGAAACAGATGCCAGATTCTTAGTGTGTATAATGCTGAGTGTGGTACGGGGGTCCATGTCCAGAATAACAGAACAGTAACATGTGAGGGTTGCTCTCCTCTGGAGTGTGGGCAGGTGCTGAGAAGGTGGCCTGTGGACCTGTGTGAGAGTCAAGCAGCTCAATGGGAATCTTTGCTCTGCCATCTATTACTTCTGTTAATGGAGTCAAAGTTTTCCATCTATTAAGTGAGTATAATGGCAGTGTCACCCCTCAGGATTGTGGTGAGGATTACATGAGAAAAAGCAAAATTTGCCTTTAAACTTTAAAAAAGTAACTGAGGCCTTCCTGGTGCCCTGGAGCTAAGTCTCAGTACTATCACTGCAACAGCCTGAATTCAATTCCCAGCCAGGGAGGTGACCCAGATGGCTGGCAGACCTCTCCTGACCCGCCCGCTGCTCCCCTCAGCAGTGTACTTCATTAGTCGTCCTGTTCTGCTCCCCACTTTGTCTCTGGTGAATCATCTCACCCTCTCCCCACAATGCCTCCCAGTTCTACACACACAAAAAAGAAGTGCCTGGCAAATAATGAGTGTTCAATGACTGTTATAATTGTCACTGATAGATATTTTACATCACTGATAGATATTTTACATCACAGTTACTTCCAGGTACGATCAAGAACACTCAGGCTGCACACCAATGCAGAGCCGGGGTGGCTGAAATCAGAGACGAATGCAGTGACACATCCTATCTGCATTCATCTGTACTTGACTTTCTCAGACATGACTTGAGGAAACCAAGTCACAGACTTCCTGGAGTCATCAATTCACAAGTGTATCAACTTCCTTAAGTAAGTAACACTCTGGACAAAAATATCAGCAAGAATAAATTTTGACTTGGCTCTACACAAGAAAAATCTCCATTTTTTTCAAGAGTGAACTTGATGTAGTATCTAAGCTTGTCAATTTTCAGTGCTTCCAACCAAAACTTATTACAATGTTTAACACAGTTACTTCAAACAAACAAAAAAAATGCACATCTCCTTTCTTAGACATATCTTGACATATAAAGGGGTGGAGAAGATTATTTGCCTGCAAGTAATGTTGGCGAAAACTCAGAGATTTTGTTTTTAAGATTTATTTGTTTATACCTATAAGAATTGAGGTGTAGGCCAGAGGTGCAGGCAGGGGGTGAATGAGAGGATTCACCAGAGACTGAATGGGGAGCAGAACAGGCAGATTCACTAAAATACACTGCTGAGGGGAGTGGCAGAGGAAGCAGGAGAGATCTGTTGCGCCATGTAGGTCATCTCCCTGGCTAGCCGTGGAGTCCTGACTCATGCCGTAGTTTCTGGGATAGCTTGATAGTGATGTCTTTAACTCGTGTCACCAGGAATGCCCGAACTCAGCCATTTTAAATGAATCTTAACAATTTGCACATCAACGAGATGGTGAATGTTTTCTTATTTCCAGAACATATTAAAAATGATGTTATTATCACTACAAGTCTGTGGGTACTTAGCCTGAAGTCTGCTAACTTCTAGAAGGCCCAGGGGATGGATTTAAGGAGGAAAAAAAATAGGAAAACTTTGATAATCTTAAATTCTTAAATGACTACTATTTTTTCTTAAATCTTAGAAACACTTCTATAAGCATTATATCTACTTCTAGCTATGTAGGGCCCATTATACCTGTATAATGCCAATTCCACTTCAGTGCTCTCTGTTAGATGAAAGGCCTGGGTGAAGAGACCGTCTCTTTCTCTCTGTATGTGTCTTTGGAATGGACCAAAGAAGCTCTTCTACTTCTCTGCTTAATTTTTTCCTTTGCCTGAGTAATTTCTTGGTTATTCATGAACAGAAAGACTTCAGAGAAAAATGGTAATATGAGAAAAAGGAGCACTCGTATGAACAATCTTATTATCACTTTGATGGATCTTAACAATACATAATGATAGGAACAATAATGATGAATAATAACCTTAGAGGCAGCTGGTATTTTTTTTGGCTGCCTAGGATCTACTAAATGTCAAATGGAAAAATGTTGATATCTAGTAGAAAATGTCATGTTGCTTTAGGCTGTAGTTTATTTTTGCTACCAAGGGGGGTTATGTTCAAAGTGTGATTCTAAAGGGATTTGTCAAGTAGGTGTTTTAAGAACAGTATAATAATTCATATGCATAATTATGGTAGAAAGAAAGGGTGACCTGTTACCTAAAGGACTACATTTGCAGGTGCTCAGTTACTTGCAAAACTCAGCCTATCGCCAAAAGGAAATACTAATTTTCTTGCCAATTTCTCCACAAAGCCTTTGAACAGGGAACCAAACAAGGCCTTCAGGTGCATTTAGGATTGGGTCCAAGAAGCCCTATAAAGAACTGATGAAGACCTCCAGAAAATGTGCTTTGAAGATAATTTCATGGAAATGCATACATTGAAAGATGTGTCTTATGGTATAAATCTTGAAAATAAAAATGTATAGTAACAACATTTAGTGAGGTTTTGATATGTTTCTAGAAATTTGCATATATTATTTCCTCTAATTCTTTAAGAGAACCCTGTAAAGTAGAATTTACTATTGAAGTTTTACAAAAGGAGGCCCTGGGATTAGATAACATGCCAAGGACACAGTTTTGAGGTTACAGAGGCAGGATGAGAACCCAGATTATATGCCCCTCAATGAGATACTCTTTGCCACCACATCAGGTCCCTGTACCTCATTGGTGCCTGCACCTCACTGATGATCAGCCCCTCCCTCCACTCTTTAGTGAATGAAAGGATTCACCCTTATCCCAGTAGAAGAAGGGAATGGTCATGCAAACTGTCGAAACTTATATTTCTATACCATTTTAAAAACTTTGCCACCCATTGGGAACTACATTACCTTATCTATTTTTCACAAAATTACTGAAAGTTGGCAAAACAAAATCTCATTTTAAAATAAGTTACCTCACTATGGTGGTGGCACAGGGGTGATTTGGTGATGGGAAACCCGTGGGGATTACAATTGAGATGAAAAAAAAAATGTGAAAAATGAAAAAAAAAAGAAAAAAAAGAATTAAAAAAAAAAAAAAAAGTTACCTCAGCACCATTAAGTGAGTTACCCAAAGTCACATAGCTGACTGGCAGGGTTTTGTTGAGATTGTAGAGTTCTTAATTATACAGTCTACTAGGCAGGACTTACCACACAACAAGAGTTGCCCCCTTGTCTAAAACACCACTTTTTATAGCATGTCAATATTTTTTTTCAATTACAAGGAAATTCTAATTCTGATTGATATCATGTTTCTAGCCAGCACAGCTAAGCTACAAAAGAGAGGGAGAATTGAGGTGATTGCCCTTAAGGGCAGGATGAATGCTCCATTTCATGCCTTCAACAACAGGAAACTACATTGAATTGAACATTGACCTTTATCTGGATAAAGACCATTGAAAACATTAGTGATGTGGGCTTATTTGTGGTCATCAGAACCATATGATCAAAAGTTTGTTTTTTGTACATCTGCAAGGACAAGGAAATAGCTGTGGCATGGGAAAAAAGCAAACAAGGATAGAAGGAACGATCATTTAAGCAGCACCAGATAACTGCCTGAGCTTATATATGGAGCATCAGAATGCACTCTTTGAAAGTAGGGATCAGGAGACCCACCTTCAGAAGAGAAGTTGGTGAGCACACCTACTTGTTTCATCCTTTTCATCAAAATACTCCAAGTCCCCTTTCCTTTCTCCTACAACAAGTACATCAACCTTTTCCTCCTCTGTCACATTCTGCTCTTCACTCAGTACATCAACAGTCTTGTAAAAGTTTGAACAAAAATAAAGTCAAACTTAAAAACATTTTATTTAATATAAACCATACCTCAAAAAGCTACTGAAAATAAATGAAGTTAGCAGCCTGACTCCTGGGAGTTCTCACAGGATGACTGGATTTTGATGAATACAGCACAAATTTTGAAACTTTATTTCTAACTCACAGCCCCCAATCCAAAATACTGACCATAGCAAGGTACTGTGAGAATAAGTTTTTGAAACAAAAGATAGAAAAATCTGATTGCAGCAACTTCAGGTATTGAAATTATCATGTACAAAATCTAAAAAATGACATTTTTATAGAAATAAGAGAAAATTGAGCATATCTTCTCTTAAACAAGAAACAAGTCAAGTAAATTTGAAAAAAAAATACAACAGAACTAGAAATACAGTGGTAAGTGCTTTCAAAAAACACATTAAATATAGAAAGAATTAATTATTTGGAAGAAGCAGAATAAGTAGTAGATTAATGTTGCCAGTGAGTCAACTAGAGAACTGAAAGATAAATTTATATAAAGAGTCAGGGATTAATGTACTCATATAAAAGATAGAATATGTGAAAGACACATAAAATTTAATCGGAAGACAAGATAGAGAAAATGTGGAGGTGGCACAATTTAAAGAAATGAAGACTGAAATTTTTCAATATGGTAAACACACACACATTATGAAAAAAGAAGGAAATACCACCTTTTGTGACAATATGGATGGAGCTTGAGTACATTATGCAAAGGGAATTGAAATAGAGAAAGATAAAATACTTATTATCACACACACACACACATATACATACATATAGCATCTAAACCAACAAAACAAAAATTTAGTTCATAGATACAGTGAATAATGGCAAGAAGTTTAGGTGGGTAAAGAGTCAAAAGTTATAAACTTTCGATTACAAAATAAAATAAATCATGAGAATGCCAGGTAAAGCATGGTAAATATATGCAATATTCTTTTGCATATTTGAAAGTTGCTAAGACAGTAGTCTCAAAACTTCTTATCACAAGAAAAAATAACTTTGGAACTATCTAAAGGGGTTGTATGTTAACTAAACTTATTGAAATTATTTTGAAATACAACTATCAACTCATGTTGTATACCTCAAGTTAATCTAATGTTATATGTCAATTATATCACAATTTTTAAAATTACAGTGTGGTAATCAAGAAGGAAACGCTGAAGCAGAAAAGAATTAAGATTAAAATTTTTAATGAATAAATGCAAACTTTCAACCATAAATAAGAAACCCATTACCAAGAGAATATCGTTGTTCACTATACTTGCCCAAGTTATTATGAAAGAATTTCCTGATATTTTTGGAGTTAATCATGTTGTGAAGAAGACATGGTATTTTTTATAATATTGTACTGAAGCTTCTGAATAACACTTTGTCCAGTTTACTTTTTCTTTATCCAACAAATTCACTGTTTCTTTACCCATTACTTTTGTTGTTTTCAGAAAAAAAAGGGTCACTCTAAATTCCCATATGGAATCTAGGCTAATGTTGAAATCCCTGGAGCCCTTCAAAATTCTGGTGTAATATTTAACACCTACTGATTGCATAAGTGACTTTGTACAGTTAACAGCAAAAATGGAGATAAAACACTTACTGAAATCAACATCTGAAAACAAGCAACCTAACAGTGTTTTTGCTAACCTTAAAATAAAATTGATTTAGTAAAATTAGATTTAGGGGACATTCTAATACCCAACATGTCTTTCAGTCCAACCACAGGAAGGGATTGATTGTAGTCAAAATATTCTTAGCTAACATTTACGGATCATTTGCTATTTTACCAGGCACTGTGCTAAGCATGTAAAACAGGAATTATTTTATATCCTATTTAACAAAGATCTTTAGCCTACATAATTGAAAACAAGTTGTATCCTCTAAAGACATCCGTGAATCCAATGCTTGGTGTATACAGCTATTTCCACAAATCATCAAAAGTTTTTATAAGATAAATAAAAAATTATTTTATTTCACATTCACTTAGGAAGTAAACATGATATGGAATCTTTGAAATATGAAAGAAAAGGTTGTAGTTGTTGAAATTCTTTTTTCCAAATGCAGTGAAAATATATGTAAAACAATATGATACCACAGAATTACCAGAAAAATATCCCTTGATTTATCAACTGGAAGAACAATGAATCTAGGATAAACACAGTGTTAGCCTCAGGTCAATGAGTGTGGACGCATCACCAAGAAAATCTTATAAAAGATGTAGATTCCTTAACCCAACTGGAAGGATTCAGATCAAGCAGCTTTGTAGGACTTCTGTTACTTTTATGGACAGACTTCTGTCACTTTTATGGACACCACAGGAAATTATGGATGGATAGTCCTTCACAAAACTCTTAAGAGAAACCAAGTCCCAACCTCACTTTTCTTATAAATCCTGAGTATCCTGACAAGTTCCAGCCCAGCCAAAGAAATGATCCCATTTTGCAAATTTCTCTCTATTTTGTCTGGATCCCTAAGTGACTCTGATTTGGATCCCTGATGAGAAAACAAATCAGTCCTAAGGTTTTCCAGACATCAGATAAACTGCTATTGACTATGTCAACATTCAAAAGCATTGCACACTTAAAGACACTCTTTTCATATGTTTAGTTACCCCTTCCCACCTTCCAAAAGAGAATGGTCTCACCTTTTTATAGTCATTATAGTAATAGGCCATTTTTTCTTAACCGTCAACGTCAGATTCAGTTTTAAGAATGAGAAAGAATAGTTTGGGCAAAACAGATATTTGTGACATTTTCTATTTGGCTAGTAAAGCCATGGGTCAATATGTTCACCTGATTGCATTAAAGCCTATTGGGTCCAAGGCCTCTTTAAAAAGTTAAACTCCCCGTTGAATGGCTATCACCAGGAGGTGGAGAAGATATGTAAACATCTTTGGTAAGATACAGAAGAATTTGCTCTTTGATCTCTTTGAAGTACCCGTCAGGAACTATCTCTTGCATAGAGAATATTACCAATGACAGATTCTAATTATGACGAACCAGATAAGGGTTTTGTCATTTCTGTATAATGTGTGAACCACAGCACAGGTATTTGCTCACCCTCAGTGACAATCATGAGGGTGATACACCACAATGTTTAATTGCACGTCTGCTTATTAACATGAGTTCCTCTATCTGCTGAACTTCTGCTATACAATGTTCACTTCAAAGAGTTAACTCTCTATATATCCCTTTTTTTCTCCCCAGAACTTTTAGTTGACTCTGCAAACCGGGAAACAAGTCAGCACAAAGGCAGCTGCAGTCACGTTGGCATGTGGTGACAGACCTGCACAATTACATGGGACTCAACGCATTCTGCCCAGACAGCGAACCGCAGAGGTAAATGAAATCCAACATCGGAGCCGACACAGCCCAAGAGAGACCTGAAGCTCGGAGCTCAGCCACCTATGGGGAAGTTCCCTGCTGTGGCCCGGGAGAGGGGCCACAGACAAAAAGTGCCCTTGGGGCTTCTGAGAACAATCCTTCCTTTGCTTTTCCTTGGCTTCTTTGGGGTCCTGGAGGCAACAAAAATATCGTGCAGAAATGAAGATGGTGCAGCTGTGGATTGGTAGGTAAATGAAATGGAAGCAGAGGTGCTTGTCAGTAGAAAGTCACTGTGAAGTTCCTAAGGAGGGTCCCCCCCACCGTGCCTCTCCCCTTTGAAGTCATTGTGTGAATGGACCGAATATCCAGATGGTGTCAACTGAGGGAGGGGATTTCCCCATGAGAAGGAGCTGAGCAGCCTCCGTGGGCCTGATGAACCGCTTACTGCCTTCTGGGGGCTGGGCCACAAAGTGGGACAGAGCTGGCAATTTCTCTCAGTTGGCACTTCCCTTTCACTGTTGAGGCTTTTCTAAAGAAGTGTTTTCTGCTGTCCCTGTGGACACTGGCAAGGGAGAGAAGGAAGATTTCTTTTTATCTGACATGGGAACTTGCACTTTCTAACAAAACGAGAAAGCTGGAGCTTTGCACCTTCTTGAGAAAATAAGAAAGCATCTGATGGTACACAGCATTGTTATATTAATCTCATTTATTAGGCAACACAGGTAGCCGTTGTGGTGTGTGGTAGTTTACCGACTCTTACAGTGTCAGATATTAAATATGGGCCTGCATAGTAGTCTAGGATGCTCTTAAAGCTTTGATCACTTTCTCACTCTTAAATTAGGGTGTTTAGATTTGCCATTAGAGTTGACATAAATGTGGTATAAACTTCAGTCAGGAGGCCACAGATAGTCTCAGTCATTCAGCAAACAGTTCCTGATCTCACACCAGGCCCTGTGCAGAGTTTTGAAAGTACAATATGAACTGAAGATACCGCTTGCCTTCAATTGCTCAGAATTAGGTGTTAAAAGCATAGATGGGGTTTTGGAGAGCACAGAATCCAAAACTTTTCCCACAGGTAGTAGTTTTTTATTTTTTGCTTTATTTAAAGATCCATTTATCTATTCATTCAGAACTGGGGTACAGGCCAGAGGTACAGTGGGGTGAGAGGATTCGCCAAAGAGTAGGGAGCAGAATAGGGAGATCTACTGAAATACACTGCTGAGGGGAGCAGTGGGCAGGTCAGGAGAGGTCTGCCTCGTTATGTGGGTCACCTCCAGGGCTGGGATTGAACTTATGCTGAAGTGACTTCAGCCTCCCAGTGCTGCGCTTCAACCCGCTGTGCCACCAGGGAGGCCCTGACCTAAGTTTTAAGAACAATTATAAGTTAGAAAAAGAAGGAAGATGTAAGGGCCTCTCAGGCCAGGGAAGAAGAAATGAGGAGGTTGGGGGGCATGAAGCCATGGGAGGAGTTGGGATGCAGGTCAGTATTGCTGGTGCTTCAGGAAAATGTGAGGAAATGCCAGAGACATGAACAGAGACAGAGGTGAGGGCCAGGACATCAAAGCCTTCATGCGCAGAGCTGATTTCACCTCTGGCAGCACTGGGAAGGGTGGACCTCAAGTCCTGAGAGTCCTGGGCCTGAGAGGACTTTTGTAGCATCACAGATAAGGAAAGGGGTGGGCCTGAGTTAAAGCTGTGGTAGTAGAAGCAGAAAGGAAGGAACTTCCGGGCAGCCTTGATGACGCTGGGCTGAGGGCCTAGGCGAGAGGAAGAAGTTAGAGGCGTTTAGGTTGTTGGTTTTGTGACTGTGTGGGTGTGTACCCTATCTAGCAGGGAACAAGTAGATTTGGAGCAAAATATTATCATCTTGGTTTCAAAAATAGGAAGCTGAAGGTCTCTGGTACATCTTTGCATTTAGGATTTCCTCACCTCTGCTCAGAGGTCTGGGCTGATTTTCACAGGAATATTGTTTAAAAACTCTACTTTCTGCCACAGCATACTGAGAGTTCACATCCCCCTTACTGGCAGGCTGCCAGATTGCAGTTGATACACAAATTTTTTTGGGCCACATCCGAATAAACATGACTTAGCCATGTCACATCACAGGGGACACAGTTGAGCAGACCCAGTCTCAAGCTGCTACAGCTGAGTGAGAGCAGTGAGAGTTGAAGGGCAGAGAACAGCACCAAAGAATTATTTTCTATTTCCTGCCATTTGTGGGGAGCTTGCCCTCCAGGAAGCTCAGAGGGGGCAGGAAAGTGTGCAAATATATAGACGCATCAGACCGAAAAGAACCAGTGTGCTTTTATAGGCAGTGGGGGATTCCACTGTGTGTGTGTGTTTATAGCAAATGTGTGTCCACTGGGAGAGTTCAAGGGTCAATGGTGGAGATCCCCACACTCCTGCAAAGTATTTGGCTGGACCATTTTTGCCCTCCAGGGTTGTGACAATGTTTGGAGACATGTGGATGGTGCTACTGGGGAACACAATGGATCCTTGAATAACATCATAATGTGTATGAGGGGGAAAAGTTCGTTTCCAGCCGGGCCTCAGTCTGTGTGGAGTTTGCCTGTTCTCCTATCTCTGTGTGGAATATTTTCTTGGACACTGGTTCCTCCCACATCCCAAGGATGTGCTCTTTGGCGTGTGTGAAATGACCCAGTCTGGGTGAGTGTGGGTGAGAGCACATCCTGCCGTGGAAGGGAGTCCTGGCCAGGGTGCCCTGAGCTGTCCCAGCAAGCTCTGGTCAGCTGAGACCCTGATCTGGAACTGGAGAATGAATGAATGAGTGAATACAAATTGTTGTTTAATCGTATTGGTGCTATTTCATAAGAAGTTGTTTGGGTCTCTATATAAAACGTTTGGTCTTATTTTTGTGACCAGTACTATGCCATACGTTTTTATTATTTTAATTTTTTTATATTTCATTTTATTTTACATTGCTGTTTAATTTTGTATACTGTTTGATTTCTCCCCTGAGGTGCAATCCCGATAAAATTCCCACCTCTAAATCATCCATGAACATTTATCATAATGAATATGTTTGTGTTCTTCCCTCCCTTTTCTGACCTTTCTTTCTGCCCCTCTCATGTGGTATGTCTCAATTCTATAGTTTGCCTTTTTCTTTTTTTCCTGACCCCTCCCCTTGTTAGGTTCCCCTATATTCCTCCTATAAGTGAAACCATCCAGTATTTGTCTTTTTCTTTCTGACTTATTTCACTCAGCATTACCCCTTCCAGCTCCATCTACGTTGTTGCAAATGCATGCTATAAGAGTTTAAATCTTGTTTATATTAATTAACCTATGGTAAAATGAGTTTTGATTATATCATTTCTAAAAGACAGCTTTTAAGAACCTGTTAATGACAATACTAAGGACTTACTATGCTACTGGTATCTAATAAGTAGAGGTCTGCGATCCTGCAATGCACAGAAGTCTCCCACAACAATGATGTTCTCCAATATGTGAATAGAGAACCTTGAGAACCCCTGGGTAGCACAGATGATCCAAGAACACCCAAATACTACATGGGCCCAACTGCCTGTCTTCCCAGGGAGATGCCCACTGGAGATAAGCAAACAGGAGTTTCTAAGAAAAGTAAAAGAAAGCAAAGTGCCTATTCAATTAGCTGCTCTTGGTCCTGAATCATCAAAATAGAACTGATGCTGATAAACTGAGCTGGAGAAAGTGACTTCGGCCAGAGGCTCAAGGGAGCCTCTACTTATCCAGAATCCTAAATTCAGACCTCAGACCTAGCCAGCCAGCTGCAAAGAAATAAGCCAAGTATACACCTGGCCTAGTTCTGGGCCTCCGCCCTTCTCCCCTCTGCAGCCATTAGCAGTGGAAACATGGAGAGAGCACTCTTGCGGACATGGACTCCCCCCAAGCAAGCTAATGTCTTGGCACATGTCCAGTAAGATGTACATTTCCTTCTCTGGAAGGAGCAAAGACAAGAGTGGGAAGACAAAGAGTTTCGGCAAATCCCTTTCCTTAGATTTAGAGGCCTTCTGTGAAATGTGAGTGAATAGTAAAAGTGCTTTATGCGGTGGCTGCCTCTAGGGAAGCACTCAGTAAATTTTAGTAATTCATAATGATTTCCTTATTTTTTAGGTTTGCCTTTTATAAGTTACCTAAAGGGCCAGACAAAGAAAGTAAAGAAACTGGGTTGGAGTACCTTTATCTAGATTCTACAACCAGAAGTTGGAGGAAGAGTAAGCAACTAATTAATACTTCCAGTAGTGTTTTGGGAAGGACATTACAGCAGCTGCATGAGGCATATGCCTCCAAGGTACGTTCTAGTTAATCATTCATTTGATTCACATAATATGCAAGAAACGGAATCAAAAACTTGCAGAAGGGTTTTACGTGATCATTCACCCAACCTGCAATCCTAGCAACTTGAAATAAACTCTGAATTAACCCAGAACAACTGTCTGAATAAATGTGAGCAAGACCTTAAGGAAAATGTCATCAGAACAATGGAACAATGTCAAATTCTTGGTACCATTTTTTTTTCTTTTAAAGATTTATTGATTTATGCATACTGAACTGGGATACAGGTCAGAGGTACAGGGGCGGTGAGAGGATTCACCAGAGACAGAGTGGGGAGCAGGGCAGGCAGATTGACAAAATACACTGCTGAGGGGAGCAGCGGGCCTGCAGGGAGAGGTCTGTGGCCTTATAGATCACCTCCGTGGTGTGTTATCGAACTCGCACTGAAGCACTGCGGCTAGCTTGCAGTACTGTGTCCTAACCTGTTGAGCCACCAGGAAGGGCCAAAATTTGTGGTATCTTTGGCAGAGTGTCTAGTGGTATCTCTGAGCAAGGTCTGAACTAATTGTATCTTGAAGTCTCCCAGCTGCCAAGTCTGCCATCATTCTGTACTTGCCTTCTTATACCTCTAATGGAAACAAGGAGAAGATCCCTCTCCTGTTATAGACAATATAGATCTAGGATCGTTACACCAGGAGCACTGTTATTTGTGTCGTGGTGGTGATGACTAGTGGTGACCCAAGTAAAAGTGTCTCCGCCAGTCTTCCTTTTAATAAAATCACTTTCAGAATGCTAAGCTGAGAGAGGGTTACAGTTAAAGCTCCTGGATGGAGACTAAGCCTGTTATGTGGATTTTATCAGGCAGTGAGCTAACCAAAGAGACACAGGTAAGCAAGCCTCCTGGCGCAAGGTGGGCTGTCTCCAGTATTCTAAACACTACCTTCTGTTTGGTGACAGCTTACTGCTTTCCAACCAAAGATGACAAGTAAAATGGAACAATAATTAACATTCTTGTGTATGCATTTCCTAACAAAAACCTTACAGCACAATAAATATATAAAAAAAGACTGCATTTGCATGTGCTAGGTTTTTTTATATGTCAACTAATCTCATGCCCACAACAATTCTTTATTAAGCTCTAGCTCTACTACACATGTTTATCTGAGTATTTACTCAAAATGTGTAGGAAGTTGTCATTTTATTCACCAGCCATTCAAACCAACCTTCAGAAGCAATGTACAAAGTCAAAACTTACTTGTATGTTGTTTGAATTTATGTGATGGGCCAATCACTGTTTCAGGTGCTTTAAAAAAGTACTTAATCTCAGTAACCACCCTGTTTTGGATAAATAGATTTATTGTGTAAAATCGAAAGTGCCTGCAGCTGCTTCTGCTTTCCAAGGCTGGGGATGGGAGACTGGAGCATAACTAGCAGCAAGAAAACAAACACCAACGTCTTTCCCTTCCGGACCACAGAGAATGTGGGGGAGGGAAAAGAAAAAAGCAGCATTGTAAAATCCCTGTCCTTTACCTCAGCTGGAGCAGATGGTTTAGTTTGGCAGTATATAATAATCTTTGTCACTGCAAAATTAGTCCCAGAGCCTACAAAAGAGGGGGAGGTAAACTGCTCTATAAAATAAAGGGAGATAGATGGAAGCTAGGGATAAAAATGCGTAAGAAAGGTGATTGGTGGGAGGGCAGTGTGGTGATTTAAAACAAGTCAATGTTTCAGACCTTCCATAAAATCAGTTCACACACAATGATGGGAGTGATGGATTCTGGGGAAAAAATAACAGCAAAGGGTCTTGTTTCCATGTCTGATTGGCATGGAACCAGCAAAAGATGAGCAACAATAGTGGACGATACCCAGGTGAGACTGAGTGTACTTACGAAGTTGGAACTAGGTGCCAGGATTGACCGTGAGAACATAATTCCCCCACCTCCTGACTGGAATTGAACTTCTAACAGAGAGTAAACTGCAAGATCAGAACAACCGGTTTTAAATCTCAATTGTCAAGGTGACCTAGGTCAATTTATCTGGGTTACATTTGGAGTTATTTCCCTTCTTTGCCTTTGCAAATAAGAAACTTCCTTCTACTTTCATAATAGCTCTTCTTATTGCAGTTGTTTATCCTTGTCTATTTTCCCTGCTAGACTGCAGGCAAAGACTTCTCTAGTTCAATATGCAGTAATCCAACTATACCCAACACATGTGTTAAGGGAATTGAGCTGTCAAGGAGCACGCACATATGTTTACCTATTTTTAAGTCGGGGATTTTCCCTTTTATTGGAGAGCCTCTCTTCACTGAGGTTGCTGCCCATTTAATTCTAACTGGCCGCTAGACCTCTGGTTAGTCATCAGTTATAGGAATAAAGCTCCTCACTGAATCTCCCCAGAGTTCTTCCGCAATGCACCCTGAAGACAACACCATGGCCTCGTTACCACACTCAAGGTAGGCTCATAGAATAACTATCCGAGTTCTCCAGAGGTGGGTATGAATACCAATGGTAGCTACAGTCCATGATGGAAAATGAGAATAAGAAAACAGCTGACTTTCTTGGCTATTGCAAGGCATAGTAGTGAAAGATACCTTACAGACTATATGATACAACTTTATATTTTTTATATTAGATCTAATACTAAGGTCCTGTAAGGTCCAGTTATTGACTTTTTTTCTGAGAGAAAGGGGCCCTTTTAAAATAGATGGGTGGTACTTTCCTGCTTTTCACTATGTCACTGAGCTCTAAATATCAACACTATTGGCTTCTATAAAAGTCACTGCATTATGATTTTAAGGAAATAAAACTACATCGAACAAATATAAGCAAGTTTCCAAAACATGACAGTGAGGGCCTACAGGGAAGTAGCTTCATTTTCACTCAGAGATTTGAACTGTTTGGAGAATTTACTCCTAATTTTGCCTCAGCAGCAGAAATACAAACCACACCTTCCATTCCATCACTTTTCCTACGCAGTAAAATATTAAGTTAGAAAGGTGAAGTGACACAGAGAAATGGATTGAAGAAAAATCCTCCCTTATCAGGGAGCGAGGGGGAGCAGAGAAAGAGAATCCGGATGAAACACAGCTCTCTGACCACACCCTGAAGCAGAGAAGTCAGAATGAGGGCAGGTCTGCTTTGAGCCTATTGTGTCAGTGGTGGGGGGAAAAGTGCAGTGGTATCTGGGTTGCTCCTTCATTTCCTGAGCAAATATTTAAGTACTCCTTTACTATATACTGGTCACTAACTCAGAAACACGGCGATGAAACAAACGAGAGAGGTTTATCCCCCTCACACACACATATCAAAATGCACAGGACTCCTGTTGCATAAGACAAAACCATGCATGATTGAGACTGGGCCTCCTGTCCAGGTCTTGCATGTCACAGAATCATATTGATGGGAAAGCTGCCCATTAGGGGAATGGATGGCGTCTCGTGTGTTTTAATGAACGCTCTGTATGCAGACTGGCTGGTAGACATGTTGTGAATATTTGTGAGCGGATGATGTATGCCCTTCTAACCCTGATATGTTCCTGCAGAATAACAGCACTGGCTATCTAATATACAATGATGGCGTCCCTAAATCCGTGAATTACAGCACAAAATATGGGCACACTAAAGGTACGACAAAGTCTTTTATTTTTTTCTCCCATGGAAATTCGCATTTTTAAAACATGCCATCTTAAATGTTCTTACGTTCCATGCTAAAAAGACAGCTTTTCTCTTTGTTTATTTTGAATTATCAAAATGCATCATTTCTATTTTTTCAGGTTATAATGATATAATTTGACCTGGCAATCTCTTTTTCACAAATCCCACTTTACTTCTTAACATCGTTTAGTGCATGTTTTATAGTAAAATCCAGGTACCGACTACTGGAAGATCAGCCAGTGTGCAGTGATGTGTATCTGTGTATGTATAAAAAACACATATTTTAGTCATAGCTATTGAGGTATGTTATATAAAAATTCACTCTTTTTTATATAGTTTTATATGTATAAATAGTTCCATCTGAAATAAATGTTTTTGAAAAAGTATTTTAAAATATTTTATGCGGGGGCCCTCCCTGGTGGCACAACCAGTTGAGGCACAGCACTATAAAGCTAAATGGTACTCCAGCATGAGTTTGATCCTGGCCAGGGAGGTGATCCACATAGCACAGCAGACCTCTCCTGTCTCGCCCGCTGCTCCCCTCAGCAGTGTACTTCATCCATCTGCCTGTTCTACTCCCCATTCTGTCTCTGGTGAATCCTCTCACCACCCCTGCACCTCTGGTCTGTACCCCAGTTCTGTATGCATAAATAGAAAAATCTTTTTTATAAATTTTAAAAAATAAAATATTTTTTGTTATATATTGCTATTATATGTTGTAGTGATTTTTATTCTATAACTTTGTGTTTTCTGTTTGTAAACTCTTCTAGGAAAATTTAAAATGCCAGAAAGCAAAAAAAAATTGCAATCCATATTAGGTGGGCACACTTAATTCTTTCTACTTTTCTATAATATATATTGTAAAACATTTTTATAAAACTACAATGACTATTTTCCATTATATATATATATGGATAACTGGCCATGGCAACAACTTTCTTCAGAAATTTCTAAATTAAAATACCTGCAGTGCCAGGCAAGTGATACCAGCATGCAAAGTGGGCTGAATTAGAGCTACTTGGAAAAGTAGAGAACACTGCCAGACGGGAGGGCAGTTACTACTCAGCTTGCCTTACACAGGTGTGATTTTTTCAGATGTTGAAAATCTTCTCAGTTTTTGAATGTTGGCAGTAAATTCAAAGCTTTAAAAATACTCTGCAAGCCTTGCCTTATAATATATATCTGCAGGTTAGATTTGAACTGGATTGCCAGTTCGCAACCTCTGATTAAGAAAATTATTTGTAATGACTGTCAAATGTCATGAGCATTGAAAGCTTTTGATGTAGCCCTGTTGCCAGCTTGAATGGTCCTTACGGGGAATCTAACACACTACATTCTCCAGCCTCTCCTCCACCACCGCTCTATTCTCCACCCTGTTAGTTGCTGCAAGGGCTTGGGGGG